GCGAACGTTCGTGCTTGCAGTGTGACCACTAATTTGTCCGGTCAGGTTGTTCTCTTGGTAATCTTAGTCATATTGCTCGTTCCCTGGTCATCTTGGTTATCTTGAGGGGGGTCAAGATGACCGGTCTAGGTAATCTTGCCAAACTTGGGGGGGGCCAAGATGGCTTGTCATCTTGGTCATCTTACCTTCCTGGCTTTACGGTGGGGGTGTTCTCGCGCAGTCATCCTGGTACTCTTGCCTCACTTGCCCGACTTGCCTGCTTTACTGCCACAGAAGCCCTTACTCGTGTTAGTTTTAGTGTTTGTATTAGTGTCGGTGTACGGGCGCCAGTCGAGTGCATCGGTTTAGGGGTTTAGCGTTAGTAGCTAGTGTTAGTATTCGTATGAGTACTAGTGTAGCATCATTTTCAGTATCAGTATTAGTATTAGTTTTAGTATAGGCATTGGTAGTATTAGTGTTACACGTCTTTGGCGCATGCAATAATAATGATAATAACAATACTAATGGTGAAAATAAGAACAGCGACAATAGTTGCTATAATCATAGGATAGAAGAGAAAAATCAGTAGTTAGATGTGGTAGGTTGTTGTTGGATGTTGGTATGTTGTACAAGAATGAGAACCCGGTCACTGTTGCAGCAGGTCAGAACCTGAACGACCCCTTCCTTCTGGAGCCCGGCTTAGCTTCTCACAATTTGATGTGTGTCTCTGTCTCTGTTTAGCCGACATCTCTGTGCAGCGCTTGCCAGGACAATGCCTGAAGCGCTGTGGAAGGAGTCCCGGCTCTGCAAAGTCTCGGAGCAAACGCCCGCGGCTTCGCGTTTCTGACGTCAGTCTCTTTAGAGAGGTCTTGGCTGAATCCAGCCTTCCGAGCACGCTTGCAGCAGAGCGCGCATCACAAAGTGACCGATGTGTGCAGCATCATTTCCAGATTCCTTCGCAAGCATCCCCTGCGAAACTTGCCGGCTCCTGGAGTCCTTGAGGTCAGGGGATCACTGCACGGGTCATGACCCGCAAGGCCAGGACTGCCCGTGCCAGATGTTGGAAGTTCTCGGATGAAATCAGAGATGCTCACAGACGCGTGAGATGCAGGCTTTGCGAAGTTTGGCACAGGCACGTCTGCAGTGGATGCAAAGTCTGTTCATGGCACAGCATCTTCCTGTACATTCGCTTTAATGCCATTTCCGACCGCAAGACACACTCAGAGAGATACAGATATATATCCGCGTGGTTGCAGGACATAAGCTCAGACTTGTAGTGTCCAATGCCGTTCAACTGGATCAGCTAAATGTTTGCTTTTGCAAGTGTTCAGCATCCAGACAGCAGATATGACGGTATCTCGAAACTTCATGAGTAGTCCTTCCCTGTCATGGATGCGGATGACCTGCTGGACATCCTGGAAGACGCCATAGCTGTGGATGCCGTTCAGTCAAGGGCGGAGGCTCGCAGATGCTTGAATCGTCCGCTCATATCATTCGCTTGCGTCAGGCATTTCTTGTTTCAAAATTGCCGCCACCCGGTTGCACTCGTTAGGGTTGAAGTGTTCGGGCGTGGATCTCCTTCGGCCGACAATTGCAGAACAATGCGACACGGCCAAGCACCTCGATTCTTGACAAATTCTTGAACTTTCCAAGTGCTGTCATGCTACTTCCGCAACGTTGGTCCTTCATCTGACCCGAGTCCTGCCTCCTGGGGCTTGTGAAACAGCGTATTCGACCTGCAAGACTTTCCAGATGGTTCTGGATTATTTCTGACCTTACCGATCTGAGGCTATTCCAAGGTCTCCCGCAAACAGCAGAGGCTCAGGACAGGATGCAGTGCTTTGCTGCTGAGTGTGCAAGACCTTCAGCTCTTTAGGAGCAGCGCTTGGAGTGGCACGAAGCGTATCGAGAGTATGTGAGCCTTATGGAGGACTTTGCTTTCGTACAGTCTAGGGATGTTTAGAGCTTTTCTGTCAGGGTGATGGGCTGAGTGCAGCGAGTGCTGTATTCCAGCATTGAAAGGATCTGGTGCTGTCCGCCTGCGCGGCGCAAGCGAATGATACGCGGGAGGTGCGGCACTGGAGAGGAGACTCAGATTGCTCCAGGAAGAAAGCAAGAGAATCTGAGATATATATCTATATATATATATATATATATAGAGAGAGAAATAATATATATATATATATAATATTTTTTCTACATATATATATATATATGTAAGCATTTTTTCCTGTTCAGGCGGTCCTGGCTCAACTTGCAGAGGTGGCAGCTGGCGAGGCTTCTTCCGTTCGGGAGCCGCGTGTGTTGGCGCCAACATGTGAACTAATAGGCTAAGCATGAAAGTGACCGACGAGAATTTAGAGGAACCTGCTTCGGGGTTCGTTGCTTGACCAGCCACACTCGCTGTTCCTGAATGCGTGGCAAACTCTTTGTCAGAGCCCTGACAGTTGGTTCCAATGCTTGAGCAAACGCATCACAAAGAGTCAAGAGCAAGGGTTGTGCATGGAAAGTCTGTGCTTCGTGATAGCCCAGAATCTCAGAGGTGCCTGCTCACCCCTCAGCAAAACGCCGACCCACGGTGCTCACCACGGCAACAGCAGCAATACCCGAGCTTGGGAAAGCACGATAACCTGGATTGCCCGGAAAAGATGTTCTGGGGATCTGGAGATGTGCTCAGTGCGTCTGCAGGCTGCAGATCGGAAACATGCGCGATTCTTGCCACTTGTCTGAGCGTGCTTACAGCCTCGTGAGTGCCATGAACATCTCGGCCAATGAGGCTGAGCATGTTCGAGTACAGCAGTTTCTGGGCGACGAGGTGTTTAGAAAGACTCTGTCGCAGCACGGGAGAGCGATTCGCTTCATCACTACTTACAAAGAACATAAACCAATACTTCGTGAGTTCGTTTGCTACACAACCTGAGGCTTCCTGACAACGATGCAGGCGTCGCTTTCGCAACTTGTGGACAGTGTGATACCGTACACCGCTTACTGCAGCTTTGAGACAAGAGAAGCCTGGGCAGCTTTGTTTCTTTCTGGAGGAGTTGCTGGACCGGCAGCAACGCGGCCTTCCCTTGAGCTTCGGATCTCGACCTCCCAAGGAACGGCCCGCCTATCTATTTGCCGTGTCTGATTGTATCTGCAAATCCGTGTTGCTCAGGCGGCTGCGACATCTGTCGCTGCTGGATACAACAACACGTAGCTCTGTAGCTCCTCAATTTGCTCGGACATTGTGTCCGGGCCACCTGTGCAGAGCTGACGTCTTTGCCTTTGTAGTTTGTATGCATGGACCCTTCTTTGCCAATTATCGCAAAGCAGACATGGCAAAAAACATCACGTGGAGAAGTGCCTGCAAACGTGTCTTGGACCTTGTACCTGCATTCCTCGTTGTTCAATATCATGCGAGACATCCGCGACTCCTGTGTCAGGTGGCCGAAGTCCCTGTTGTCAATGCTCTGGACGATTACGCGTGCGCCATCAGTTTTGTCTGGAAACATCTCTGCCTTGCGGTGCCGCCGGCCTGTGAAGGCACCCGCTGCAGATGCTTGCAGACCTCCTGACCGTGCTTGAATACAAGGCAAAGGAGTGTGGGTGTCGTTATTTGCTGCAGTCGATGTGCAGTTGCAGGGCTCATTCAAAGACTTCACCATGACGTACATGGGCGATTTGGAGAACAACGTCACTGCCCCAACGGTATGCTGGTTTTGTACCGACAAAGTTAGCAGTGTCTCAGGTTACTTATGACTTGATGCGCCATGGCCTTGGAATGCACTCCCGACGTTGGCCGGTCAAAGTCGATGGTGTGAGGAACGGCGGCTTTGATGGGCTACAACTTGAACCTGGCATCTTTCTCAAGTTGCAATCAATGACACAGACAGAGACTGTGTTCGCAAACGGTCGCGAGTTGCAGTTGGCCCAGGCTGGCCAGGGTGACATTGAGAAGTCTGCCGGAGTCTTGAAGCCCTGGCCAGCAGAGCTTTCAGATCGCACGGGGATCCCAACCTTCAACCCCAAAGCCTAAACCACCCTCAGGTGTGGGAAGAAGTCAACACCCTGGCGAAGGCGTCTGGGCGGGGCCCTCGTCTACAGGGAAGTGGATTCGCTCTGATTCGGTGCATCCAAATAGCCGGCTCCCAGGTCCAAAGTGAAAGTCTGTGCGTCAGCTGCCGAGGTGGGGGCTTCCTTGTGTCTTTTTGCAATCTTTGGTCACCTTTTGATGCTAGTGCGGCTCTTTTTCAGGGGCTTTCTCTAGCCCTCAAAGGGCGACACGGCTCTGTGTAGTCTGCTGGGTTTCATACTGTATCGCCAGCTTGAGCAGGTTCTTTGGCAGTTGGGCATGCATTCTTTGATGCTAGTGCGGTGAGAGGCAATGACCGGCGTAGATTGCGTCTACACAGACAGCTGGATGAGCCTGCAGCTCAGCCACAGCTTCTGTTTGATAATGGGGCTCACCTTCTTCCAAGCACCAACACGGCGGAGGCTATGGCATTCCGAAGGAGGAAGAAGAGGCCCGAATGAAGCTCTTCATGCCCTACCAGGCGAGACAGCGGTGTGTTATGCCTGGAGGGGGGCTTTAGCTTAACTGTTGGGGCTCTCTCATGGTCATGATGAAGGTGCCAGCAGTGTGAGGTTCAGTTCACATACTCGTTTTCATAGTAATAGTATTACTAGTGATCATAGTAATAGTAATACTAATATTATAAGAATACCAAAAGAAACACTGGCCACCTGGCTCGCGTCAACTAGCACCCCGCCTACAGAACCGGCCGGAAGCTCCGCAGGTGACGACGGATCTCATGAAGCTTGCAAAGCCCGACTGCATCTTCATGAACTGCGCGAGCCACAGAGCGAAGCAATGCTTGGTTGTTGTTACTACTGTTGATGGACAAAATTCTGCATGACCCAAATATAGTATAGTACCATAAAGCCCATAGTTTAGGTATATAAGGTCATGCAGGATTTTGTCCATCAACCGTATGTTTGAAGTTACCAGGCTTGCCAGCGGCTCGCGGCATGGAGCAAACGGCCGAAGTGATGGACGGACCACAGCCAAGCACTCAAAGAATCGATTTGTGGATTCATAAGCCGGTGAAGAGCCAGAAGATTCAGAAGACTCAGGTCTGTTGTTTTCGACCAGGCAGAGAACCGACTCCATGCCATGAAGGCATTACCGTTGGCGTCTGGCATGCTCATGTACGAACTACCAATGCCCCCGAAAGCTGCGTCCCTTGCCCACTTCAACGCAACCTCCTGGCTTGAACCACTGATTCGTGAGCTTTCTGCCTTCATCGTTTTGGCCATGCCACCAAAACTCGGGTGCGTCAAGCATCGACTTGTCCACGAGAACTGACGGCATCATGAGGAAGTTTGTGATCCCGACTGCGGCACCGGCGTGCACACTGAGCATTCTGTAGAGACCTAGTTTGGGATGGCTGTTTCTAGTGTTGCTTATTCTTTGATCAACTTTGATAGATGGATAGAGAGCAAAGAAACACTCACAGTTTGTGCATACATGTTGATTGGTGGTGTTCAGGGAAGGGTAGATCCGCTTCGCAAGACACAATGCAATCCGCTTCGGGCCAGCGTGCTTGCCGACGGCCACAGAGCCCCCGCCTTCCCTTGGCAATCAGGTGCACGGCGGACTGATGGCCCGAGGAAGCCAGGAGGGAGGGAAGGACGCAAGGAAGGAAGGAAAGAAGGGAAAAGAAGGAACAAGAAGGAAGCAACACGAGGTACATGCGTACCTGCCTACCATGCCTACCTGCCTGCCTACCTGCCTACCTACCTACCTGCCTGCCTACCTACCTACCTACCTACCTACCTGCCTACCTACCTATCTGCCTACCTGAGTACGTCCCTACTTACGTACATACATGCATGCATGCTGCATGAATACACGCGTGCATAAC